ACATGCTAAAGGACTTGTACTAAACTACATTGATTAACTTCAAAGATAGCGAGAAAATATGTACACATTCCAGGCTGTCATTTTTAAGGTACTGTGAGATTCTGTAGGAGTTCCCCAAAAGCTGCTGTATCAGAAGAATCATGATTGCTTGCCAGTATAAACCATGGTCAGACCTTTAGCTTCTGTTTGTCATGGGCTTCCTGGGGACAAAGGGATATGTCCAAGATTAGAATCACGGATTAGAATCACGATCCTGAAATTTTCTTTACTCATTGGAAGACATGACTAGGAAATAAAGTTATTGCATTCAAAGGCTCAAAAGCATGCTGGAGTGTCAAGGGGATTTTGCATGAACAGTCAAAATAAAAGCATTTCCACATTACGTAAACCATTTTCCCAACTTCCATTGATTACAGCAGTGCCCTTGTGTGTCCTTAAGGATTCAGACAGGATACCTCATAACTGTGAACAGTTACAGCTGAAGCAGTCCTCTTGCTGTCAGTGGGGATGTTGAACAAGTAGTGGTTCCCTGGAATGAATAAGCAGTCCACAGCTGGTTCTACACCTCCTCAGTAAGCAATAAAACAGAAGTCAAAACCTGTGGATGTGAAGACCCTGCGCTCTGCTCACTCCAGCAATAAACAAGGAAATTTTACAGTGACACGCTGAATGGGTTTTTCATCACTGCACTTGTGCTGAGAGACTGAGTTGGACTCAGTTCAGGTAGCAGACCCATTTTAGTGAAACAATGCTTTGGGGCTTATATTAGAGGGCAAAATAAAACATAATGCTTCCCTATCTCCAGCTTTAGAAGCAACTCTTGCTGTGTTTTTCAACCTCGTTTTGAGGTTTCTATTGGCAGAACATCAGTCACTTTATTTCTACAACACCACTCTTCATAGCTTTAAGTGCTTCATACAAGCCAGTAACATCCCAATTTTGAACACCAGCTGACAAATTATGCATTCAAAAAACATGTCTCAGTTCTTTGTTTCAAAACCTAGTTATCTCATTTAATTTAAAGCTTTTTTTTTTTTTTTTTTTTTTTTTTTTTTTTAATAACTCCTTGTAGGTTGCATGGTTAATTTACAAACAGTGTTCATACAGCAGCAAATGTTACTACATGTGCAAATGTGCTGCTTTGCTCTGTTGCTGTACCTCATACAAACATATGATAAATATAAATATATTTATAGCACATGCATATTTTGAATCCTATACATACATATCCAAAGCAGGAGTTGAATACACTAAATGAGAGACACAAGTTCTTACTGATTTTCTCTTGCACTTTTATTTCCTTATCAATTTGCTTTGTAGTGTCCTTTGTTAAATAAACTGTGCAATTCATGATTTAAGGTGTTATTCCATATAAGCTGTCTTTTAACTAAAAAACAAAACAAAAAAAAAAAAACAAAAAACAAAACAAAACAAAACAAAATAGTCTTGCTGCCATTTTTTCCAGAGATGATGTGCACTTTACTTGAGAAAACTCCTGCAGAAGTCAGTGGTTTCTTGTTTGAACAAGGGCATTGGTATCATCTTGGTATAGTTTTCTAACCGATGGCCTTGAATTTGTCACAGTGGTGCAGACATCTCCCATACAGTTAAGAGAGAAAGCACAGACCATCCAAGTGTGGTTCAGAGAAATTAAGTGCCAGTGACTGCATGATAACTTGCATATCTCCATGAACTTAACTTCAACAGATGAGACAGGAGGACACTCACAGGTGTAACATGGGAGACACAGAAAGGCAGGTATGAATCCAAGCTGAAGAGAGTACCACTCTCCACTTGACATCAACAGTCTTCTTAAAGCAGACTGGTTGAAAGAGGTTGAAGCTTTCTTTCCAGTTTATCCTGGTGGTCACAATATTTCCTTGAGAAATGGGAGAAAACACCCTCAAAAACTTCCATCAGACCGAGTTAGAGATTCTGCATCCCAAGTAAGCTTCATTATCCCTTTCCTGAACAGAAACAGTTCTCTAGCCTATGCATTGCAGCTGGTCTATTTAATCTTACCAGAAAGGCATAGATGTCATGTTGGACCAAAAAACAAGCAAGCAAGAGTGAGTTAATCTCACAGAGATATCTTCCTGGATTTTACAGTCTCTTTTTATTTCTGTTTACATGTTATATCAAGGGATACTATCTCTTAGTACTGAACAATTAAATCCAGATTCTGCCTGATTATTCTGCCTCTAGCTTGAACATTTTATGTTGTTTTATTGCACAGTGACCCAGATTTAGCAGCAGTGATAGAATATGTACTGCCCCCTGGCTATTCCTTAATATGGTTGGTACATCACATTTTTGGAAGTGAAAGCTGTGGCTTCCTTCACCTACATCTGAAGACAGATCTGAAACCAGTTTTAGCATATCCTAGGATAGCATACAGACTATGGACCAATGATATAAAACCACAGCTTTAAACAAACACTAGAGATTATTCCTTGACAGGGCAGCTGTATGTGACAGACCACCGAGACAGGGGAGTCAAAAACAGTACAAGGGGTTGGTAACTATATCTGATACCACTAGCTAGACTTTCATGCCTTGACCACTGGACCAAAAATAATTCATCGTGCATTTGATATTCATGGCTATAATAATCTATCTGTAGTTTATTCTTCAATGTGCTGTGTCGACACTTTTTTCTGTCAATATATTACCAACTCTTTTTTTCAAAAGGAGTTTTCTATTCCATTTAGCAAACTAACTTAAAAGGAGAAAAGTAAAAGATTCATTGAAGGCAAAAACCAAGTAACTGTATAATCCAAAAAGTAGTTTGTCACAGCAGATATATCTCTATTTGCACTTCTGCTATTATTAACATGTGCACTTAGAAACATGAAAAAAAAATAAAAAATTAAGGACATATTTTTGCGGAGCCCTAAAGCTGATTAAATCAAATGCAGATGTGGAATTGGTGCAAAACAGATGCTGAAAAGCCATGTCAATATCCTAAAGGAATCCATTCCCTATCAGAAAGAAACTTTATTTCTACTATAAAGAATTTGATTACGTATTGTTATACCAAATGTGATTAATGTTTTGTGGTGATTAATCAACTGCAAAATATATAATTATGCCATCTGTATTTTTCCAGCTTCTTGTCACTTAAGAATTCCACTGGGGAGTGGGAGGTGCGATAATGAGTACTGGTGGCATTTATAGTGCTTAAAACCATACTCCGAAAGCCTGGGGAATCTAGTAACAAAAAGAACTGGCATTTATTCTAATAGCAAAACCTCTAAGCATATTAAGTAAGAACCCAGAAGACTCATTGGCTTGATAGCTACTTATGTAGAAGACCCAGTTATGGGGTTCGGATGGCCAGGGACCATGAGAGCTTGCTCCAATTCAAAGGTAACCCATTAAGCCCCCAGGGGAGCACTCAGAAATTGGCTTTCGGACCACCTCCTGCTGGCTGATTTATGAAACAGCCCTTACACTGATGCAAGGATCATCATCCTTGCATCAGTGTTTTTTGTGGTTACAGGCGAAGTGAGGCATGTTTCCAGTGGTAGTTGAGAGCAAAGAATAACACCAACTACTTAACATGTTAAAACAACTTCTTTTTTTCCTTCTGTGAGCAAAACACTGGGGTACATTCACACCCAAACTAAGGCCCACAAAGTTACCTATCAAACTGGAGAGCTGCTTTTCAAACACATTATGCGGAATTAATATATATATATTTAAAAAAAAAAAAAAGAAAAAAAAAATAAAAAAAAAAAGATGTAAAAGTAAAGGTTCCATAGACAAGTTGGTCCCAACCACACCATACGTGAGTGATCTGTATCAGACTTTTATCCACTCTCAAATTAAAACAACATTTGGGAGATTCATCTTTAGTGTGCTTGGTGCTTGCAGATGGAAGAAAGTGTGAAGACTGAATCCAGAGTCTTAAAGATTCCCAAGTCCATAGGAAAAATCATTCTGGTTACATTTTGTAGCCTACTTTATTTCCAACAATTAATTATCTTGTGGGGTTTGATAGGTTGTGTATTTGTGTGTGTGTGTGTGTGGTTTGCTTTGTTTTATTGATACAAAGACTATGTAGAACATAGTTTAATTATTCTTCCCTTTTTCTGCCTTAGTTAGCATTGTTGTAAATTAACATGTAATACTCCTAGTTCTTTACTGTGAAAGTGATTTCGATGACTGTGGAAATCAATTTTCAGCTTGTTATGCAGTCTCAGAGTTTCCATGTGGCTTTGGGCAAGCACATTAAGTACAAACTTCAGAATCACCTACTTGCCAGAGGCATTTGCATCCTTGGTATGCTAAGAGGCACACATTCCGGGGCTGGGTGCATAGACTTTCTGCTGATTCAACAAGGAGCTAAACCTGGATAAGCTTGAGATCTGGGCCCATGTGAACCTAACGAGGTTCAATAAGTCCAAGTGCATGGTGCTGCACTTGGGTTGGGGCAATCCCAGACATGAGCACGGACTGGGAGAAGAGCTCATTAAGAGCAGCTCTGCAGAGAAGGATTTGGGGGCTCTGGTGGACAAAAAGCTTGACATGAGCCAACAGTGTGTGCTTGCAGACCAGAAGGCCAAGAACTGTAGGTCTGGCATTTTTAAAAAGCTTGTCAAATAGACAAATGCCAATATAAAATTCTAAAAAGAGGGAAATGTGCTCATGCATAGTCATCTAGGGAATTTTTGACTATTCAGTGGTAGCTGTTAGCACTCAATTGTAATTTCAGAAGACCATGGGAACTCAGCAATGTGGTATCATATTTACCATCTCCTCTGCTCCACTCTGTGGTTATCTTGGGTGTCAGGAATACCATGGGCTCTGACAATACATGGTTGTTTAGGTATTTATGTACTCACCTTATGGCTTTCAGTATATGATCCTTCATATCTGTCAGCCTTTCAAATCTCCCTGAAAAATTACAGCTTTAGCTCCCTTCTTATTTTCTCTCCCTTGAGCATTTAACTTGTAACACCTGTGTATGAGGTCTGTCCTTCCTGGTTGGTCTTAGCTCATTCAGGCCTCTTGCAACTCTTCAATAAAATCATAGTGATGTTACTGAAGTTAGTCTGCAGCATAACTCATGAATCAGAAGAGAGGTACAGGCTGTTAAAGGAAGAGGAGGATTCTGCTAATATGAACACATGTTTAGGTAATGAGCAATAACAGGGGAAAAAATAAAGTACAATAAAGGCTGCATGACAGTTTGAGCTTGGATGATATATACTTGGCATTAAAGTTGCCTCAGTGTTTTTTTTTTTGGTTTTTTTTTTGTGGCTGGCAGCTAGTTTGGATGCAACAGAACCTGGTGTAATTGTTAAGTATCAGTACAATTATGTTTTAGGATCAGGCACCTTTTTAATGTTCTTTCTGATTTAAAAATAAATAAATAGGAAAAAAGAGATGGAGAGAAATATAAAACCAAATAAAATATACTTCTAAAAATAAAGAACAGAAAAAGAAAATGAAAAGACAAAAGTATCTGGAATTCGTTGGGTAGATGCAGTATCCTATTTTGCCTTCTTCCTTCTCATTCTTTCCTTTTCAAGGCTCCTTCAAATTGCAGAACTTTCTGAGCAACAGCAGCAGCTAATCTTGACATATCACCTTTGTCACTTTATGTTCCTTTCTTAAATATTAACAACTTATTAGTCAAAACTATTGCTCTTATGCTATTTTTGATACAGTTTGGATTAAAAAAAAATAATTCATTAGAAGTGTGTGTGTATATGTAAGTGAAGTAGTAATCAGTGAATGTGTATTATCAGCGGAAGTATTTGTGAATGAAGATAAGAGCATTAAATCTAAGTTAGAAAAGTGGTTACTGAAGGATCCTTTTATCATCAAATAAAACAAACACCACAAAAGGATGATTCAGACCACTGGTGATTTTGCCTGGAATTTGCACCCTAATTGTTACCTTAATAGAAACAAGGAACAATTGCATGGATTTCAGTGGTGATGAGATTTTTAATTTACTGCAGGGAAGTGAGAAGAAAAGTTGGTTCCAACATGCCATCTGTATTCCAGCCATCGTTTCAATACAAAATGCTGAAATTCTGAAGATGGGACAAAGCACTATGAAATATACTGCAGGGAAACCACCTATGCTTTTCTATGGCTGGAAGCGAAGAAGAAAAGCCTGATGACACAAAAGGTCATTTCCATTGCTAATTTTTGTGATTTCCTGATGGTCCTTTTCTACAAGTCTTGATTAAATATTCAGAAATATCATTACTTATACATAAACGTAATCATTTAAAGGTGCTTCAAATAGAGCAGACTACAAACACTTTGTTAAAGGAAGGAGACATTCAAAAAGTACTGTTATCTTTGAATCCCAATTAGGCTACACCATTAACGAAATATACTGCAATTAAGTTTACATCCACTGGATGGAACTTGTTGCCAGATAACATGAATCACTAAAATGTTTTTTTCTTTCATTCTCTCATGATTATTTTCACAGTATGAGTTCATCATTTCAGATAAAATGCAGTCAAATATTATTGAATTTTGAAATAATATAATTAAATAATTATCAGTTCAAACTTACAATTAGAAATGAAAACAAATACCAAAGCTATATGTTGAAAAGGCATTCTATTTATTTATTTATTTTTTTTCAGATGGATATTTGTCCCAGGACTGTTAATTCCAAGAGTGCTATGATGAGGGAAACATATACTTCTCTTAATTTCACTATAATAAGGACCTACATGATTTCAGACCATCTCCATATGCCTCAAGCTTGATCCTTGTACTGTTCCGTTATTTATTTTTTTTTTACCTTCAGAGTGCCAAATTAAAATAATTTCTTCAGTCTTGTACTTTAACATACCTAGTCTAGCTCCAGTTATGGAATATACACTACCTCTCAAACTCTCACTCCAGCATAAAAATGCTGTCTTAAAGCTGATGCTTCCTTCTCTCCCTTTCATTTCTTCTAGATTTAGCTTTCTCCCCATTAGCAAGCTCCCAGCTCTCTGCACAGGAAGCTACTGTTCTAATTGAACGCGCTTTACAAATTGCACAATTGCCAGTATGGTGTCCTAGTGTTATATGTATTCCAAGTTTGAAAACACACTTTCAGCAAAAAATGTGCTGTAGTCAACTTTTCAGTCCCTTTGCCTTGTTTCCATCATGAATCATATGTCCCATCTTCCTCTTCAGCCTGCTAGTACATTTGTGTGTTATGGAAATCACAGATTTTTTGGGTTCCTCCTGACTTTGAATGCTAAGCGCTTTTCTTTCTGGGAACCATCCTGGGCTTGACTATGACAGTGCTAAACAGGCTTTTTATTTCAGCTGAAGGTCTGCCTCCTGTGTTTGCTGAGCACTGGTGCCCACCTTGTGATTTTTAGCAGAAAGCTCAATAGACTGTGAATTAATTAGTTTGGGATTTACTGCAGGCCAGAATGAGACATGCACAAAGATATTTTAAATTGTTGGCTCTTGCTGGCACTCGGCATGATTTTGATTCACACCTACCTGACATGCCTGAACATCTTGGCTACAGGTGGCTGTGTTTGGACTAGTTCATTTATAAATCCTATCAGAAAACTAAGGTTACCCTCCACAGACCTTTGCTAAAGAGAAAGAAAAAAAAACCACCACGTTTATAATTCAATAGTATAAACTCAAAGCCAATGGTTAATTTTCCTGGATACATAGTATGATTAAGCACACAGAGAAGGATCTCTTCTCCACTTGAGCTTTTTTTCTGAGTCACCGTAACTCTTGTGGGTCATTCACAACATGACATGTAATAAGGGCTGACTACTCAACAGTTTTGGTGACAATGGTCAGTTCTTTTATTTTATTTTTTCCAAATAATTCATCATAGACTCCGATATCTCAAAACAACAGAAAGAACTAAAGGTTCTGAGGGATAACATAGCAACAGTAGTGACACATAATATACCTTGTGAGTGAGTAAGAACTGATAGTTTCTTGAAAGGAACAAAATCATCCCCGGCAAGTGTCAGGTTCCATGAGGTGTGAAATCCAGAAAGCACCATAAATGATCACCTCCCTCAAAAAACAGCAAATGAACTGACTCACCCTGACTTAGAGCAGTGCAAATATAGGTTTGTTCCAAAGAGATGGCATACTGAAAAAAAAAATGGTCTAAGTAAGAGTACATTCACAGGAATTAAATTTATCCCCTAACTATACCCTCTAACATCAGAACCTTGTTCAGATGGTGATGGCTCATACTCTCCATCTTATTTGAAAAGTCCCAGCAGTCAGGTGAAGTCCCTGATGACTGGAAAAAGGGATTTTTCCATTTTTTAAAAAGGTAGAAAAGAGGACACAGACAACTACAGACCAGTGAGCCTCACCTTTGTGCCTGGCAATATCATGGAACAGATCCTCCTGGAAGCAATGTCAAGGAGGTGATTGATTCAAGACAGCCATCATGGCTTCAACAAGGACAAATCTGATGGCCTGTTATGTTGGAGTGACTCCATCAGTTGACAAGGGAAGACTGACTGATGTCATCTACCTGGATTTCTGTAAGGCCTTTTACACAGTCCCAGTCCCACATGACATCCTGGTCTCTAAATTGGACATAGATGGATTTGAAGGGTGGACTATGGTGGATAAGGAATTGGCTTGGAGGCTATACTCAGAGAGTTATGGTCAATGGCTCTATGTCAAAGTGGAGGCCTGTAACAAGTGATGTCCCTTAGGGGGTCTGTCTTGGGGCCAATGCTGTTTGATACCTTTATCAATGACAGGCAGCGGGATCAAGTGGACTCTCAGTGAGTTTGTATATGACACCAAGCTGTGTGGTGCAGTTGGATGAGGCCCTGAGCAACCAAATATTGTGGGTGGCGTCCTTGTCTTTGGCAGGGAGATTGGAACTAGATGATATTTAAGGTACTTTCCAAACCAAGTCACTCTGTGATTCTATGATATTACCACAGATCCCAGCCTTTTCACTGGTTTGGTGCTATAATATGCTAGACTTGGACAAACACATGTACAAATTTTGAAAGTCACTTTAGTCAGGGGTTCCAGTACTGCACCCCAAGTTGATACTAAAATTTTTTAATCCTCTCCCTTCTCCCTCCCACCCCTCTCTGCCCCTTCCCTTTCCTTTCTTTCCCTTTTTCTGCATTACTTATCCTGTGAGGTTTATGGTTTCTGCTATCACATAACTACAAAAAAGCTAAGGATTAGTAAGTAAACTCATGAGTTATTTCTTCAAGAGAAACATACCTTTGTATTAAAAAAGTTTTAAAATAGTTCATAAAACATTTTAAGTAACTTATTAATAGCTAATCATTTTAGTTGGCAACCCCTTTGGCAAAGGAGTATAAATACATATTTAGAGAAAAAAAAATACTTTTCAAACATAAAATTCTCTCTTTCAATTTTTTATCACCTATCACCTACTAAAGCAAGAGTAGGCAATATGCAAGAGTGCATAGAGGAGAACCTCATCATTCTTTAGAGAAAGAACACCTCTGTCTTTTTTTTAAGCATTTGTTAAGGGGCAATGAAGTATAGCACTCACAGTGAAGAAAATCTTGAACTCCAGTTCTTCATTTATCTATTGAGAATCAACAGCAGCAATAGCAACAATTACGCTTTCCTTCAATTACAGTCAGTATTACTTTATTTCTCAGTCTGGATACAGAATATCTATGAGTGAAAAAATAATTAAATTCTGCTCTCTTCTCCTTCACTGTCACCCCCTCTCTCTTCCACCATCAACTATCTATAGCAGGGCGTCTGTAGTGCTTCTTGTATGGCTGCTGTCAAAAGTATGATTTTTTTATTTGTGATGAGCAGAACTTTTTAAAGATCTGCCAACCACTCATCATATGCTTATGCCTCTCTTCCACTATCAGAATACGGGCTGAATATGTACTAGTTGAGAAAACTAGAAATAGAAAAGTTCTTTACAAGTATTTATTTGGGTATGCAATACATACTTGTTTGGATATTATATAAGTCCATTTGCAGACAATGGTCTGCAAGTGTTTTCTAAGAAAAATATAAAATATTCAAGTCAAAATGTATCCCTACTCTATAGATATCTGCAATTAATTCTCAGTTACATACAGGTAGTTTGTCCTAGCTGTGAAGTAGCTGTGCCTTTGAGGCAGAGATTCCAGATGAGTTTGAGAATGATGTCAGTCATGACTGAATCATTTTATTGCCTTCATAATCCTTTTTTTTTTTTTTTTTAATTTTTTTTTAGTTTTATTTTTTTTAACCATGTTCTTTGTTTTCCATTTAGCTAGAGGTTTTGATTCTCAGGGATATCCCAGCAATTGGGTAGTCAATGTTAATAGAAACCCAACCATGATGTCAGAGGAAGCTTGATCTTTTTCTCCTTTTGTCATCTGAAAAGCAAGAACAATAATAAATGGTCTAAGTGGACAATTAGTGTTGATATTAATTTACTAATGAAGAGAATATTTAGAAAGTAACATTTCATAATAATGTATGACCTCTCCATGGGCTGCAACAAATTTACATAAATGACTCATCCAATAATTCTGAGTGTGATGGATTTAGAGTTTCTTCTGATAATTTACAAATATTATGCTATGACCTGTTTATTTTGATGTTTTGTTTGTTTATATGTAAAGAGTGAATTAATTCAATATCTAGACTGTCAGGAAAGACACCCAGGAGAGTGGAATCGACACACATCTTGGTACATGCTTCAAACCATAGAGAGGTCTTTCACATAAATGCCTTATATCAACCCTTTTCCTGCCTTTCTAGGAAATTTTCTAACATATCATGGTGTTCCTGCCAACCTGAAAATAGTCGTGGGGGAGAGGAATACAGACCTCAACACCAGTCTCTAAGGATGTAGGATCAGGGAAGCCATTTTAAGGATTTTTTTTTTTTTTTTTAAGGGTGCATGGATAATAGGGAAAACTGAAGCAAGTTTTCTCTGGGCTTAGAGTACATCAGATTCAAGAAAATTGGTTTGGTGGTCATGCAGTCAGTCAAGTTATTATCATGTGCAACCTGAGAATATGACAAATAATGACAACCTGTATATTTTCTTCAATATATTGGACCTTGCATAAACCAAGCCACCCACTCTCTGAACTGGAATTGCTTTGAGTTCCTATCTTTGAGACATAAACTAAATACAACATTAATACATACACTGCTATAATTCAGTAGTTTCCATATTAGACTTTTATTCTGCTTCTGAAAGGTATATAATATGTTAATTTAACATATTTTAGTCCATTCTGTGCTGCTAGTTCTTAAAGAGGAGAGTTGCATAGGCCTTGGTTCATTAAGATAAATCAGTAAATTACAGAATAAGCAAATTTTTATAGCCAAAATCTAATCTAAAATTTAGAACTTGGTGATTCTTTTCTCAAACTGTGTCTTCCTAAACAAATTATTATACAGTAATTTAGTATAGAGTCTGATAATGTTACCTACATTTTGCATATACTGCAGAGTATGAGCATGCTCAAGGACAGCTATCAAAGAGAAATACTATAAAGATTCATTGCCACTACCCCATGGCAATATCTCCATGTAACTCATATCCTCTGAAAGCCACATGCACAATATAAGAAGAGCACGAAAAGAGAAAGTCCAAAGAAAGGATTAAAAATACAGCTATTCTTGTAGTTGTGACATTGAGTAACAAATCTGTAGAAATCCAAATCTGTTTGAATATAAATTCATGAGCCCAAGAAGGGGCAACTTTTGAATAAATTAGTCACGGTGAATAGTTTACCCAATTCTATTATACTCTGCAAGTGAGGAACTCAGTATGATATCTTTTTTACCTGATTTTAATGTCCTGAAGCATTTGCTGTGTTGTTTCCTTTGTAATCAGCAGCTTTTTTTACAGGCAAGCAGTCTCCCAATTTAAATAATACACAATAGAGCAATGTGCTGCAGCCATATCCTGTCAGTTCAGGCACTATAGCCTTCACGTCCTATTAATACCTGGGTGAACTTTAGAGTTGCTTCAGCAAGAAAATGGAATTTTAGTCTGAATATGGTTTAAAAGGACCTCTCAAATTTAGTCTATTTTCATAAACAAGGCTGTTTTGCAAGAATGTTCAATTTTCTTATTTTGTGACATTGTCCAGCAAAATGATCAGAATATTCAGTTAGAGAACTGTATATATCTATACAAGCAGACAGACAGAGTAAGCTAATTATCTCAATAGAAACAGCACTGAACTGGTATTAGTTCAGATGAACTATGAATCTAAGAAACTCCTCAAACCCTTTTAAAGCTAGTTATACTTGTTAATATTTTTGTTAAAACAGTTGATACATTGCAATGATATCAACAAAAGTAGCTTGAAAGATATCACAGTGACTTGTACTAAAGCTATGAGCGCTGCAGACATTATTTAACCTGCAACACAGTGATCACAAAGCATAACTTTTTCCTCACAAAATAATTAAATATCTTAGACAGATTTCCTGACCTACAAATCATAAACAACTTGGGCAGGTAAGTATGCCAGTGTTCTTGATTTTTTAATAGGAATACAGAGTTTGACCAAATTCTGTCACATCAGTATTCATCACTCATGCCTCAGGTTCCAAGGGGAAAGAAACAAAACAAAATAAAACAAAACAGAAACATGAGAGGAAGAGGAGATCAAAGGACCAGTTGTGAAAGAGGGGAAAAACTGCTTTTCAAGTGCAGAGTAGTTTTCCTCTTAGTAATGGATTGTTATCAAAAACCTTAAGCAAAGAAACAACCACGTTGTATGGATATAGTATAATAATAATAAATAAATAAATAAATAAATAAAGGATAAATATATGTACACACAAGTACATGTATGGGTTTGCTGCT